CACAGATGTGGCACTCGGGGACAGGGATGGGGGTGGCCTTGGGGACAGCTGGACAGGAGGGGTTTCCCAACCTTGGCGATTCCATTAAAGGGTTTTTTCCGGACAATTCCGCGCGCCGGCGTCACCCACCTCGTCCGACTCCGACAGGAATTCCTGCATGATGTCGCTCTCGCCGATGACCCGGATGGAGCACACTGAGGGGACACCGGGATGTCACTGGGATGTCACCGGTGGATCCAGGGATTCTCCGAGGTGGACCCGAGGAACATCACCTGGGTCACCTGGGCCACCTCCTGTCCCAGTGTCACCTCCTGTCCCTGTCAACTCCACATTCTCCATCTCCTGGTGTCCCCCATGGATCCAGACCTTCTCCAAGGTGGACCCAAGGAACATCGCCTGGGTCACCTGGACCACCTCCTGTCCCCATTAACTCTGTGTTTTCCATGTCCTGATGTCCCTCCATGGATCCAGACCCTCTCCGAGGTCACTGAGTGTCCCCAGTGTCACCTCCTGTCCCTGTCAACTCCACATTTTCTATCTCCTGATGTCACCCCATGGGTCCAGACCCTCTCCAAGGACCTCTCCTGTCCCCAGTGTCACCTCCTATCCCCGTTAACTCCCATGTTCTCCATGTCCTGATGCTCCCCCATGGATCCAGAGCTTCTCCAAGGTGACTGAGTGTCACCTGGGTCACCTCCCCTCCTGTCCCCGGTGTCACTTTTTGTCCCTGTTAACTCCACGTTCTCCATCTCCTGATGTCCCTCTGTGGATCCAGACCCTCTCCAAGGTGATTGAGTGTCCCCAGTGTCACCTGCTGTCCCCTCAGTGTCCCTGTTAATTCTGTGTTTTCTGTGTCCTGATGTCCCTCCATGGATCCAGACCCTCTCCGAGGTCACTGAGTGTCCCCAGTGTCACCTTCTGTCCCCATTAACTCAGTGTTCTCCATCTCCTGATGTCACCCCATGGGTCCAGACCCTCTCCAAGGACCTCTCCTGTCCCCAGTGTCACCTTCTGTCCCCATTAACTCCCATGTTCTCCATGTCCTGATGCTCCCCCATGGATCCAGAGCTTCTCCAAGGTGACTGTCACCTGGGCCACTTCACCTCCTGTCCCCAGTGTCACTTTTTGTCCCTGTTAACTTCAAGTTCTCCATCTCCTGGTGTCCCTCCATGGACCCAGACCCTCTCCAAGGTGATTGAATGTCCCCAGTGTCACCTCCTGTCCCCATTAACTCCACATTCTCCATCTCCTGGTGTCCCCCATGGATCCAGACCCTCTCTGAGGTGACTCCAGGACCACCCCCCAATCCCACCCCAAACCCCAATTCCCCACCCACAAACCCAACACAAATCCCACACCGGGGCTGGAATTCCATAATTCCCATGGGAATCCCACCATTCCCGGAGGAATTTTGGGAATTGCGTGTCCGTACCCTTCTCCAGGTACTCCTCCAGGCCCCTCCTGCGGGCGTCCAGCTGCTGTTCCGACAGCGAGAACGGCCACTTGCCCGGGAGCCGCGGGAACGTGAAGTTGGCGAATTCCCGTTTCAGGTTCTGGTGCAGGATGGCGAATTCCCGGTACCGCTTGGAGCACAGCTGGCGCCCRGCCATGTAAACGTTGTACACCTGGGAAAAAAAYGGGAATGAGCCTGAAAATTCCCAAAATATTCCCAAAAATTCCTGAATGGTGATTTCCCAGTACCGCTTGGAGCACAGCTGGCGCCCGGCCATGTAAACGTTGTACACCTGGGAAAAAACGGGAATGGGTGTTCCCAAATATTCCC